AAACAAGCTGCAGAAGTGCCTGAGCACGGTGTCTTACTCGGACGACGGTCTGGCCGTAGCCAACACCCGGGCCGCATTGTGCACGGCGGTCGACCGGCACAACCTGCTCGCCACCAGACAGTATTGCAGTTTTGGTAGTACAAATCGCCACTAAATAAATAAATAAATAATTAAATTGATTACATTTACCGATGATTCTTCGCGTGTACCACATTATCATCTTAATTTGCATACAGCTATTCTGACTTTATTATCTCTATTTTTTTCACTGTCTACATCTTAAATCTCCGACCGAAGGCGCCATTTTACGGTTTGCAAAGTGTGTGTGTATACTCGAACATGCCCGATTTTTCACGTGTCGACCTCTTGTGGTTAATAAGATGCAATGAATTTCACTGTATACACTATGATATATTAATAAATCTTTATCGATATTAATCCCTTTCCTATACATCGTATTACTTCTACGCTTTTACCTCTATCACTGCTCATTACCATTTACATTGTTATGGTGTTTTTCACGGTCATCATAACACTGTGAATCCACCAGTAACTAAAACACTCAACACTGACTGCGTGATTCCGTCACTAAATTTTAGTTAAGTGACGATGCATTACAATTTGACAGCCCAATTTCAGACATAAATAGCTAAGTGTTGGTGTATTACAGTATGTTCGTTTCAAATGACGAACATTTAAAAATTTAAACATTATCAATATACATAAAAGCAAATCCTTATAACTCATTATCTTCTAATATGATCAAACGGATACGTTCTTTAAAGCAACATGCAAAAAGGAGATGAATAGAATTGTCATAAATTTGGCTCATCTTTAAAATCAACTAAAATGGCGCCTCTGCCTCTATCTCTTTGTCTCCCTTCCTCTTTCCCTCCTTACCTAAGTATATATGCTGTTACAATTAGATATATTGTTTTTATCTATTTGTCTACATATCTATATTTATTTACTATCTGTGCGTGTGTGCGTGTGTGTACTTATCTAGTATCTACTTATAGTATTTATATCAATATGGATTTGTCCGTCTGCGTATCTGCTCGTCTGACTATATATTCTATTACTACACTTACCTTTACTATTCGCCTGAGAAAAAGATTTTTATATTATATATTTATTGTATTTATTGTCATTAAACTGTTCTCCTCCCTTTGTACTGTTCCGAATTTATTTTATATTGTTTGATTTTACTTTATTATTATTATTACTATTATTTATATATCAATAAATGTCTCTGTCCTTTTTTTCTTTGTATTTTAATCATTTTCATATGAAACGTATTTACATCCATTCCAATCCGGATAGTATGATTTTTTTTGCATTTTGTTTATTCTTTTATTGTTTATGTCCATATTACCATCAAACAATATATCTTTATATTAGTCATTAGAATTGTTATTATCTTAGACGTGTCTTACATCTAAATTCACTTCTTAATCATCCTCATAAAAAATTTTTTCGTATAATATAGTATAAACAAATACATTATTTAAAGACATCCGTATGTCACCCAAAATTTTGTTTCTCTCTATCTCTCTCTTGCTGTCTTTTCTCTCTTTCTCGCTTGTAAAGTATTACACCCATCCATTTCGGTCTTAACATTGTAACGATATCAAATATGACCTGTCTAAGATTTATCACATTCGCAATCCCCCCCCCCCCCCCATCCATGCGTATTGAGCTATAGTTACATTATTGTTATTACAATTGAATACAATCGTTAAGGTGTATAATAACTTATAATATATTATGTCGGTGTATTGTATATATCTATATACGCACAAAATAATGGGTCATTAAACCAATGATTTCAACAATTTCCAAATGTTTTGATATTATTATTATTATACGTATTGTTGTCCCAAACGAGGTATTTGGTCCAGTTCATTTGTTTTCTAAATAATGACCAAAACTTTTTCCAGCAATAGTTTTTACGAAAAAAATTCCAAACACGCATTATATCATTCTGACAAATTTTAGTTCGTTTAGTGCTTACGCTTTAGAGACTCGTATAACAAAATACCATGTTATTTATACAGGTTTTTTCATTAAAATTATTTTTATTACAATACTGCCTTCATATCATTTCAGAATTCCACATAAATATTCGTTTTTTCAAGTGAAACGAAAATTACACATGCTTTTGAAAAACATACGGAACTAACTGATAATACCTGATGGTATTATTCACTGTATAATATTGTTTTAATAGTAATATATCTCAAGAACAATAACATATTGTTTATGTATTTGTGTTGTTGTAAAACGTAATAAATCCAATTCAACCAGTACTTAATATATGTGTTTTTATATCCTACTAACACACTTGATGCTCATTTCGTGTAGTCTAAACTTTAAACGTATTTTGATCAACATAAAATAAACATTGATATTTTAATGATCGGTTTTTATTCTTCTACTAAACGATCGGAATACACAATTTGAAATCACTAGTTTTTAATGACCCATTTATATAGCCTATACTAAACAATTAATTAACTTATCTGGATAAAATTATATACATGTAGTTTACTAAAAAATTTAGAGCTCGGGACTTCTGCTAAACCACGTATTTTATTTGTTAGTTTATTTAATATCTACTTACTCGTTATTATTAATTTTTATTAATATTTATTAATATTTATAAATGTACTAATTCAATCGTTTTGATTTTATAATTTCACTTTTTCAGTAATTTTTACATCATTAACTATGAGCAAATAGAATTTTTATAATTATTCTTATATGCATTGTTAATCTGATAAATTAACCCGAACATCAATCTTATAATATTTTTGTTTAGATTTACACTTCTGATGACTTCTTTTATTGGGAATCATATAATTCCGAATTCTATCCTATGCTTTTGAATCATTGTAAATTAACCAATTACAACAGAGGAGTTCATAGTCATCGTTACCAAAAACCGTACAAACAATAATAGTTGAAATCCTATAATATAAAACATCTCAAACATATTGTTGATGCGTCCGATATTTATTTAATTGTAAAAAGTTATAAATTTTATGAAACAATAATTTATAACACTGTAATAAATATCAATAATATATCTACTTAGATGTAAAAATTATAGAAACTTATATTTATATGTTAATTTGCTATGAATTAAATATTATTTGTTTGAAATTTTATATGATCTAATTAGGAAAAACGTATAATATTGTTAGTTGTAAAAACTTTAAAAATAATTTACGATACTTTCTCCCAGATTTTATAACTTCTACGTAACACTGTTTTAAAAATTGTATGGACAAAAATATTTTTTAAAACTAGCAGTACATAGATGTATTAACGATTATTGATCGACTGTTATTATTTATATACATCTAACTATATAATTATATAGTTAATTGTATAGTTAGAAAATTACAACGTATATTACAATAATTGAATAATAATAATTTAGTCTTTAGGTAATATATTCATATTTTCTATAAAAATGAAACATATTTTTTTGTATTGCGGAAGTCCCAAGCCCTAATAATAATCTTGGCTTATATTCGTCAAAGAGTAAATACCAGGATTTCGGGTATATTATCATCTTATAGCATGATTTCATCGATATTATACATAGTTTAGAAGTCATGAAACAACCATCGTAATCGACCTTTTTTTCTACCATATTAATCAATCACCATCAAAACATAATATACTGTGCCATATTATATCATTATTTATTATAAACGTCCACATCGTAGTGTCATTCAACCTACACCTAATTCATATACATACATCTCTTATATTGTGTACTACATTTTTTTACTGTTTTTTTGTCCCCTTAGCATGGCAAATGTGATGAGATCCTAATTACTAATTCCACGATCGAAAAATGTTATGTTTATTAAAAATTTAAAAAGAAAATAATTCCTGCCAGTATCATTAAATGTACGTCGTCGTAAAAAAAACCATACATATAAGCGGCGATGTGTATCTACCAAAACTTGAGTGTGACTTATGTTCTATGTGTGTCTATGTAATATATTATTATATATTATTATATTGAACCACTATCGCCTCTTCCTCATATTAAATTGTGTTATATTACATCTGTCTGCTTTTACTTATGTCCGACCAACAATCTGACTACTGCTTTCTATCTCTATGTGTCCACCTCTCACTCTCGCTATATTTATTTACCTACATTTATATATATATATATATATGTGATTATTTTATGATTTATCTTTGTGTCTTTTTTTTTTTTAATATTAAATATTACTTCTTTGTTATTTGAATCTGAATATAATACAAATTATGCTAAATTTGTCTCTGTATATGATGTTATGCTCATCAAACTATCGACCCCAACAACGCGCGTCTTACTTACATACTACATACGTAAAATCATCATTATAATATTATGTTGTCCGCGTGAGTTATAATATATCATTTACCAAATCATTTTTTAAGATACACAATACACACACACACAGACACACATACTTATAAAAACTGAATGATTGCAATATCATACAATTATCATCCAAACATCTTTACATTACACATATATACACATTATAACAAAATAAATTGCGACGTGTTAGCACTTATCATCATAAAAAAAAAAAAAAAAAAAAAAAAAAATCGTCGCAAACGCTTTAAATAAAAATGTAAAATATTCGATAACAAAAATTTGTAAATATCACATGAACGCTTGGCATGCTCACTCTTGCACGATTTTATACCTTACGCTTATTATTGTTGTATATTATAAATGTAATATATACTAACCTACGTTTAATTTTATGCATGAAAACACTTTTTGTGATGCATGTTTTTAATACAATATATATTTTATTCTAATTACTTAAATAGTTAATTTTTCTTCTAACTGACATTGTAATATTATCTATTATAACTATGGTTAACACTTCTAAAAAAAAAAAACCGCTTTTATACTTTAATTTCTGTGTACATTCGTTACTTGATTAACTTACGCCTATTGTTTTTTTTTCGTCTAGACAAATTGGACAGCTCGTTCTCCAGATCGCGGAGTTCTAGTATGTCGAGTTTAGACAACATTACCTCGGAATCAATACAATGTTTGACATTTGGCGATTCGTATACGAAAAAATCCGGTATCTAATAAGTTTTTCGAGTACTTTTAATATAAAACCTTTCAGTCCACTCTAACTCCCTCCCAACCTATACATATATATATCGTCCTTTCGTTTCCCTAATGAGCACACCATGCTTAAGGTTCCCGATCCTTTTAAAACTTAATCATTTTTGTTTTTTTCCTCTTTTTCAGATCCGTCTAACTTCCCAACCCTTTGGATAGGCACCAGCGTCGGATCGGTGCTTACCATAATGATCAATCTACCACCCTCTGGAGAGCCCAGGAGCACACAGCCCGTAACCGTTGCCCCGTGTGGTGAGTATTTTTTTTTCATTTTCACGTGTAGGTACTTAATTACTCAGGAAGCATTATTTTATTTTTGTATTTTTATCTCTTTACGTTTTTGATTTAATCACTCGTACGTGGAATTCTTTAGATTCTCCTCATATAATTTCGTAGACTGTATTAGAAACGAAAAAAATAAATATACATATATGCGTTGCGTAATCTGATTACATATATAATTATCAAGTAACTCTTAATACTCCGAATGATGCAAATAATGTTCTAACATTTTTTCTGATTTCTGTGTTATGTTTTTATGTTTATATTCACCAGCGACATTTAAGATTTCAAATATAATTTGCATATTCAAATAGGGTATTTTAAAGAAGAGCATTCAACTATAAACTCAAATTGTATTTCATATATTTGCAAGTTATTATTTTATAAAAGCTCTTTAATAGTTTTATCCCTTTATTTTTGCATATTTTTAAAAAAAAAATTTAACATTAATAGGTTATTTAAAAAGTATTTATTTCCTTAGTTATTATTATCGTATTACAATTTAACACTAATAGGTACGTTATAGTTAAAAAAAGGAAATGTTTTTGAAATTATATAATATTAGGTATTTTTATTTATACCACACATATGTTTTATATAGTTTCATTTAATTATCATGAATATTCAAAAATGATTAAATTGAGTTATAAAATACAAATTATTATATTTATAACATTCGAAATATTCCATTTTTATTTTATTTTATTTTTTTTGTTTTTCTAAGTAATAATTTTTTTTTTTTTTTACGAAACATTAAAAATAAATTAAGATTACTTGAAATTCAAAATAAGTTATATATAAAATGCATTTGTAAAAAAACTTTTCGATATCATCCGAATTTACTGTATCATAATAATTTATTCATACCACAAATTTCAGCTCTATTTCAATTTTCACTTTCTCAAAAGGATTTAATATATTTTGTGTACTAAAACTTATGTCTACGCCATAATATATGTCTTACGCTTTATAATATTGGAAAAACAATAATTATCTATATTTCTGTTTTTTTAAGTATACAAAAAAATTTCATGTTTTATTCGTAGGCATTTTTTTTTATACAATTTTGGTTCTTAAATCAAAAAATATGTTATTTTTATGTAAATAAAATACTTGAAAATCCTGCTACCGATCATCTCAGAGCTTAAACTCATAGGTGACACCAGCATTTATAAGTACGACCAATAGGAGGACAACAATTTTACGGTTAGGCCACAAAAAATAAAATTTCACCAAAAAAAAAAAAAATATGTAGTAATAATAATTAATATGAGCTAGTTATTATATTATAAAATCATAAATAATTACAAAATAATGACAAAAGTATCATGTAATTTTGAGTTAGAGTCATGGCCCAGCTTGGCCCGTCCCTGATGCCACCATTACTTAAACTTTATTTTATCAAACAATGAAAATACACATTACGTGAAGTGGTAATACGAGTTACGGTTACGGTATTACGGTATGACACTGAAATATGTGTAGATAATATTAAAATATCAAAATAAAAATCTATATTACTTATTAAAAAGCTAAACAAAAGCATTACGGCAATTTCATGGATTAGACATTTGGGGTATAATAAATAGAGCGCAAAATATAGCTTTAACGATTTGACGACGAATTGAAAGTTTACCCGATTGAGGTGACGACGACTGTGTCGGTAATAATAAAATCTTGTACGTCTGGCAGTACCCCTCAATTAAATAACTGGTGCCCAGCATCGTTGATTGACGTAGGTATTATATATCGTACATATACGTGTAATATTATAATATATTATCCAGACTTATTCAGTCTCATATAATGTGCATATAAACGTTTATGAGTATACTATACGTACGCGCATGGTGCATTTATGGTGTACGTAAATATACATTTTGAGTGCTCTTTTTTCCTTTTTTTTATTGTACCGTTTACTCGAATAACTGCTATGAAATTACAATTGAGCGTTTATATGTATACGCATAGACATTTTGTTTTATGTTCTGATTTACATAAACCGTAATCGAGTTCTTTATCACCGTCAACAGGATCTTCTCCTTTGTGCGTAAACACAAATAATAATCACCTATTATTATTATTATGTTGCAAACCCAACCGCGGTTGTTGTTACCAATTAGATTTGTTCAAATTTTGCTTTTCAAAATCTCTATGGCATGCCATGCGAATAATATAACTTGTACTGTATGTTTGTTTTTTTAAATTTTCTGTTGTTTATTGTTACTAAAACTTATTATTCTTTCCTCTCCCGCCCATTGGTTTCCTGCCATACAGGTACGATTTTCAGACTGAAAGGTGGAGTGCTCACCATGTCGTTCCTGGATTGCAACGGCGCTCTAATACCCTATGCGTACGAAGCGTGGAGAGACGAGGGTCGAGACAAGCAAAGTAAGCTGACTATTTCAATTGAATATTATAATTAAAACTATTTAACTTTATGGTATTTAGTTATCGTGCGTTTTACTTACGCGTTGTCGCTACGCGTTTAACGATTTTAAATAATAATAATAATAATAATTATGAAATTATCGCGTGTCTCCACCAACGGTGGTGTTCTGCTAGTGTTTTTTTTTTTTTTTTTGCGTCACGTAATTTTGATTCGCGTCAACCGCACCAACGTAAAGCAATAACAGCAATATAATAATGCGGTTTGTATGACCATTGCAGAAACGCCTACCAAGAACTCTAGTGGACTCAATCGCATGTCGCCAGCGCTGACAGGGAGCTCGGAGAGTGTGTCCAGCAACCCCGGCAGCTCAGCCGCAGTGCAACTTCAAGTGCAACAGTCACAAGTATCATGTGATCGGCAGTTTGTGACGATCGTCAGCGAAAAACAAGCCAGGGTCGTTGCCTTACCGTCGCAGAACTGCGTATACAAGTATCAGATATCCGACGCCGACTTCGTTGTCAAGTCCGAAGTCATATCCATGAAAGGTACGTGATCGCAGGTCATCCATCTTTCTACACCCTTTGCTCTGACTGCCGTAGTCCACTACACGAGATTCCATTGGTTCTTCTTTATTTTCAGTGGTGCTTTGTAGACTGAGACCTAGGGAATCGAGTAATATCCTTTGAAGGCATCCCCAGGATTTGTTATTGAAAATTCTGGAGCACATAAAGTCATGTAATAGTATTGCTATTAAAAAGATTAAATAATTACGAACAATGCGGGGTATACTTCATTACCAAGAATTCGTTTCTATTCCATATTTGAACTTAAATGATATGCTTCTACGCATATACAAACAAATATATTTTCCGTCTCATTTTTTAATAGGGTGTCCTTATTAAATTATTAACATAAAATATACATGACTGATTTTTCAATCAACTGGCCAATACGCTGTATTCACATTAAGCATTTCTTGCGATTTATTTTATTTTCCGTTTTAAACTCGATTGTGAACAAGGCGGAGTGGAACGTTCCGCGTAGTTATAAAACGAAACAAAAAAGAATAACATCGTATTTGTTATATATTATTTATATACATATAGGTGTGCGTACGTACAGGATTGTCGCCAAGGACGATAGTCCTGCAGGTTCGGTCGACCGTATATCCTAACCCAATTTTATCCTTTACAGATAGCGTATGCCTAGCGTGTTACATATCCAATGGACACATAAATATCTTCAGCTTGCCAAGTCTCAGGCCTTTGGTAGATATTGACTTCCTGGCGCTTTCCGATCTAAGGTACGGACAACAGTTTTTTATGCTAATTTATTTTCTGAATACATTTACTACTTAATAACCGCGGGCAGTCTCCACACTCTCCGCTCCTTTTACCTCATATTGTGTCATCCACGCTGCCCGTGTGGCTCTTATTGTTGTTTGGTGGACGTTATTTTTACTTACAGATTAGAGTATAGTGTATTCGTATTTTTATCTCAAACATTTACGACCGACTCACACGCGTGCAGAACTGCAACTTTTCTGTCGCTTTCGTTTTTTAATATCGTATACATAATATTATGATACAAGCATACGATCAAATGTCACTTTTTTTAAAAAAAAAATTAATAAAATACCATCCCTTGAAAAATCGGTTTCGGAAACAAATTAAGTGTAGTTTCAATTTCCTGCTTTATATTATTTACTACCCGGCCAAAAGAAAAAATCGATGCTAAAGAAAATTACTAAATACCCGGATATTTTTTTTATTTTTTTTTTATTTTTTTCGTACAACGGTAAAATGGCTTTACGCCAAGTCGACCTCGTCGAAATGACCTTGTTTATTTCGCACCCAGTGAATATAGTATTAAGGTATATATAAGAAAACGTTCAGATAAGAATAATAATATAATCCACTATTTTGAAATGACGAAAAAGATTTTTTTTTTTTATCATAATTCTATTTACTCCGAGTTAAGTCCACTAAAATTCTTTTTTTCCATTCCATTTCAAAATAACGATTTTAATATTCTAAAAATGTCAAATTTCACAATAATATCCACGCCAATAACAGTATATTGTTTATATGACCTAAAATATATAAACAATGAAATTATGAGATTATCATGTCGATATATTATTTCATATAAATTAGATTTAATACCTATCAAGTTATTTTTATTTCTCATTGATGTACAATTATTTTAAAAACGTTTATTTTATTTAACGAGTATTAAACATGTCACATGTATTCGTGATGTTATAACAATAATAATATTGTGGTTCGACGACATGACAGTGTTATATGGACATGTGGACTATCATGACAAAGTTACACAACTCTATATATATATATATATATATATGCGTTTTTATTGTTTGTAATTTTAAGATTTATTAAAGAGTATACTATTGGCCAATATTTCTTATATACAGTCATATGATATGCTTACAATAAGCGTCTATGAACTGAACACATGGTATTAAGTTTAAAATAACAAATAATAAATACTTAACTATTTGGTTGTTCGTCGTCTCGGACAATGTTTATTAGTGTTTATTATCTCTATGGTTTGTATTGTGGCCAGTTTTCAGACCCAGAAACAGGGCATAGTTGACCCAATGTTATCCATATGGGGCCAACAGATGTTTGTCAATGAAGACACAGACCAGTAAGTCGTGAACACTAGGATCGCCATACAATACATGAAACACACAGAAACAAACACACACATACACACACACACACATATACATACATACAAATAAATATATAGACACGAGCTGATAGATATTTTTTTTCCTAATAACGAATTCTATATCAATCGAAGGAAATTATACAATTTATAACATATATCATAGTTAAGCGTTCTCTATATTATTTTTTAGTAATTTTAATAAAAATCATCTATATTCTTTGATATTTGTATTTGCAAATATAAACTACCGAACCAAAAATAATTTTATCTTTATGCGTCGGATATCCCTTGCGTTCTACTTTCTTAAGTTAATTTCCTTAATATAAATATTATTATATAAGCAACGTATTTCTTATGTATATATATATATATCTCGCATTATATTTATTTAACACCTCTTTTTATTTGAAATCACTCACCGTTAATATTTAAATTGTTCCATTTCAGTAATCCAATGATTTTGATGTATCAATCGTGTTATTGCATTTTCAACAAGAAATATATACTCATATATATTATATATCCAACACTTTTAAAATTAAATTTATTATTTTCATTTAATTAAATTTTATTGTAGAATACTGTTAGGAGTGGTATATCTTCTAGAGTTTACAGCTTATAAATTCTACACCAATGTTACATTGATTTTTTTTATCCCCTCCCCGTACAGTAGTCGATGATTTTATTTCTGGAAACCTATCTCCTAGATTATTATTATTATTATATTTATAATTTCCAAGAACACTGTATTTGTCTTGGAAGTTTAATTCGAGGTTGGCTGAACCTTCCGAATACCGCATCGCATGTTCATACATCGCAATAGAAACCTTATTTCAGGAATAAAGTTACGACGATACTTATCATTTAATGACGAATAACGACCTAAAAAAGTTTTTATTCTGCACCGCGTACACCGCTCGCGTGGACCATTGTGTTATTATAAGACATCAAAGTTTCGTAAAACAATATTAAATCTCCCACGAAGATAATTATAAAAATTATTGTTTCATAGTCGACCCTACCTTTATTAGCGATTATAAATATAAATGTACAATTTATAATACATAATACCCATAGACTTTTGCAGTTTATTACGTAACTTATGAAGGATAGTATTTTTAAACACGTATGTTTTATTATTACTATAATAGATCAATATAACATTACAACACAGTACGTTTTTATATAAGAATAAAAAATAATACAATTTCCATCATGTACCACTAAATACATCTAACAGCTCGGGGTTGACACCTATGTACAGTAATACATTTGCACTTAGATCATTTCTGGTTTTGATTTACCTTCAGGTTTACTCTTGACCTAGCTATCTCCTTTGGCATGGTTAAACCTAACCCGTTAGCTCCAACTTATATATAACCCACCTAAGTGAACGTGTAAATGCAGCTGCATTATGTAACGCTCGGCTTTTTTATTATTATTTTTTTTTAATCCTGTACACCGCCTCGTCTGTATACAGCTTTTTCCATCGTTTTCATGCATTTTTCTCGTGTTGTTGATTGAATCTCAGTCCGTTTTATTGTGTTTTTTTTTTTTATGTTTTGTACCGAAATCAAATTATCGTCAGAAGCTTTATTATAATGCTTCCAGTGCGTTTTAGAAGTCTAAGCGACAACCTTGGACTATGGATTTTCTGAAATATTCGGAAATTCCGGAAGTTTACTCTATTGAAAAACGTAAGGTCCGGAAATTCCGTTTGTATATATTAAATATTTGAATATGTCCGTTTCGGATTATCGCTGGATTACTGAAACGTATATACGCAGTGGTTAAAGTGGTGAAAATGTCGAGGGGGGACTATAATCACCAAAAATGGTAAAGAAACGTTCCCTAACCATAGTCTAAATCCTATCAAACTTTTTTAGGTACAAATTTTACACAAATTTGTTTATAAAACGTTTCATAGGGTTAAAAACTAAAAATGAAGTTCCTCCAAAAAAACAAAAAAAAAATTATCCTCAACATATTATGCCAGATCAGTAAAAATAAATTATAATATATGGTCTGAAGTGTTTATAAAAATGAATTCAAATTTTTAATTTGGTTTAGTCTAAAATATTTCATTAAAAATACAAATAAAACAAATGTATATCAAACATCATAATATTATGTTAGATAATAAAATAATAACACAACTCACAAGCTTAACTTTTAATTATTTATTATTTATATGTATACAAGACAGTCTGTCTGTATTGTTTGTAACTGTTGTAACTGTTACAAAATTAACAATCACTAACCTTGCTAACTACAGTTGTTGGTCAATAAAATAACAACAAATATTCACATAATAATAATGTTTATTTATTATAGTTATTTATTTAAGTTTGTAGAAAAAATATTTATTTTACATAACTCTACATATTTTGGGGATTGGAGAATATTATTCTATTTTTCATATTTTAAAATGTGTTGTTATCTGTAAAAAAGATTTGTTAAATTCATAAATTAGAACTTTAATATCACAGAAAAAATATATAATATGGAAAAAGGATTAAAATAAAACAATAATAATTATTTTATTTTATTATTATTATTTAACAATATGATCACTAGACATTTTTTGTTTTATTATAATATTGTGATTTTTTTAACTTTACTTATAAAAAACTATGTGAGTTATCTCGAATTTTTTATTGGACACAATTTTTTTTTTGTTAAATAAGATATGTGATACCTATTCTGAGTAAATACGTGCATGCTTATAAGCGTAAACAACAATTAATACAACTATTAACAATAAAAATAAAAATATATACATTGTATTTATAATATTATACATAAATAATTAGCATACTTGAGAATATTTTAAAGAAAATATAATATTCCTTGTATTTAAGTATTATTTGACCAAATGTTGCCAGTTTTTAATGGAATATTTAGGGCATATTTTGAGGTTTTTTCCATGCATATATTATACTTTAAAAAACCTAAGAATCCGCCTTTTAATTATATCTTAAGAACTTACCTAACATTAATAACATACGGCCAAAAACAGATAGCAAATATTTTTAACATACAACCATTAAATGCTGCTGTCTATCACATATTACTACAGTTTTGGAACAGTGATTATAATAATAAATTATGTGTTGGTGTCGAGAGTCGGATACGGGGTGACCTATGTTTATACCGTACACGGACGATCCGTGTACGTGTTAAAATGTTAATTGTTATCTACATGAGCCCCTAAGTATCTGTTTAAAATTGGACACAGCGTCTTTTAAATTAACCCACGATTACAAGAATATTATACATATCTAACATATCGCAATATATTAATTCATTATAAATATTTTTTTGAAGTCCTAACTTTTTCTTCCACTTGTTCAAATATATTAATCAATAATACATTTCATATGATAATATATTATGTACTTTATATGTGATAATTACTAACGCCGTTTAGCGAACTTATCGTTTAGCGTTTTTTCCGGACTTTGGAGATTTAAAATAAAGGGGACGCATAATCTTACCTTAAAATAGAAGAAAGACTACATCCTCTTGCGTCCCCCTTCACTTTAACCACTGTATATACGATGAAATTACCAACAACATTTAAAAGAAATCTTTGACTAATAATATAATTCTGATCGTGCAGCACGTTAACCCAACGCTTAATAACCGTAACTTTTATTTATTATTTTCGTTTTTTTTTTTTTTTTGCATGAACTTCTGTTAACATGTTGTTTAATCATACAACATGACTTTACCTAGCACTCGACTGTAAATGTTGTAACAGACTTTCTGGTTTTTTTAATTAGGATATTACCATGATCAAAGTCTAAACAGAACTAGGCTATATACACCTACCATTCACTCTTTATATATAGATTATAATATGTAAATTTATAATCTTCTTAGCTATCTGATATCCTAGACTTTCAATCCCACTATAATTAACCTTCAATGTATATATTATCGTGCACGTCTTCGACATCCAGAAACTCGTATTTTATCATTATTCACAACAAGCGAACATTGACAGTAATGTCCTCGACCAGCTATAAAGCACAATACATTTTTACGAGTTTTTGGATTCACCGCGAAGACACTCTATCATTTGCACACACTAAACCTATTTTAGATAAGCACACAATAAATAATGTACAGAAACAACAGAAGGAAAATAAAGGATCACGGCGCTCCAATATTCAATACTTGCCAATTAATCTATTAAAAACTACAAATTATGTATATATATAATATATTATACTTGACAAACTAAACTTATAAATATTATTGTGTACAGATAAATAAATCGTGTGTGTATACTAAGTAACTACACTGTATTATTGTGTCGAGTGTAATTTTGTACAAAGGCCATAACGAAAAATTAGGGTTTTCGTTATTTTTCACCTACATAGTCTAGTGTCTGTAGAATTTTATTATTTATTTGATTTATTACATTGATATTGTTATTATTTTATTATTATTATTATTGTTCACTGGCAAATTTATAGAGTGTGAAAATGTCCCAAATTATTTTATTCAATTATTATTTTTATCATTATATTTTTTATCCTTATTTTAATATTTATTTATTTTTATTTTTACTTCTTTACATTATACGGCTGTTAACTTTTGTCTGCGTGTGTGTATTCCTATAGAATTGCCAAGACGTTTTGCTTCAGTAACCGGGGACATGGGCTGTTTTTGAACACTCCATCTGAGGTGCAGAGATTTTCCGTTTCCACCGAATTTTGGTAAGTTGAATTGTACTAAGCATTTTTTTCATCCTGTAACTAAACGTGGTATTTGACCGGTTTTTCAGCCAAAGCTTACCGGAAATGATGGGTGAATTATTCCAGCCTCATGAGATGCCCGAACCACCAAAACAAAGTTTCTTCATCGGTCTCTTCGGAGGTGGCTCTAGGTCCATCGACCGCGAGGAACTATGTATGACGAATAACTTATTTAATTTAAAGAATAAAATCACCCGTCTCTCTTTTCCTGTCTCTTCCATTTTCATCTCAAAACTTCGGACTTCACAGTCTTATAACATTACATAACGTACAATTTCTATAGCAACATTTTATAGCAACAAAAGAAAAGTTGATCATTACATGTTCCTTAATGTTAGATTAGTGAGTTGCTACATATTTTATCATACGCTTCATATATTACTTGTTAATCGTGTGTTTATCTGCAAAATGTCATTAATAATTTTCATTGTTTAATGATATTTTTCCGTGCAGCCTAACGTCTAAATGTTTTCCCCATAAGTTGTTTCGGGAGAATATTGTGTTTAAATCTTAACTCAATCGAGCAAACTATAATACTTTTCTCGCAAAACATTTATCCTCGGGTTAGTATTGCAATACATGGTTAATTGCAATAGTTTATTAGATTATTAAACACACGTGTAAGTCAACTCTTCGAGGCAATTTCATGTTGCGTTTATACGTAATATCTTTCAAACGTTAATTTTAATAGTATACGTAAATAAATATAGAAACCACTCTAGTTTGTTACAAATATCACTAGTTTTGATGCATTAGGTTAGCGATCCAACCTTTGAAATTTTAATAATCCCACCTATTTAGAAACTAAAGCACTATCGATGGATGAATAATGGGTCGGATCTTTAAATTGCAATATGTAAAATGAATTTGATTCGTATCACCTAGCTACTTATGAAATCCCAGTCTTTGTCTTCGATCCATTTATTTTATCGAGCAATTATTTTTAGAAATGACTTTACAGTGAAGGTTTTATTTCCAATTTGCTTTCTTATCTTCATCAATCACTGTTATACTGTCAGTGACATCATACAATGAGATTTATTTATTTCCGTTTTTTTTTTGGTTACAACGGAAAGTTTGAATTTATGGACTAAACAATAGATTTTTTTTTATGTTCTCGTCACGATCTTTATTCGATTGATATATATATATATATATATATATATATATATATACACCGTATATATAGATACTTTATCCTATCGAGTAATTTTCTGATTTGACACTTCCAATGATAATTCAATAGACTTTCATCCTAGACAACTAATAAACATTCCGAGTAATTTATAATAACCGAAAATATATTACCTTAATGAAATTTTTTTTAGATAAAAATCTTAAGTATATACTATACGATTTATTTTTTTATCATATTTACCGTTTTACTTTACTTTTGTTAATAAAAAAATATCGTTTTATATCATTACATTTTAATAGTTTTATAGTATTTTATGAATAAAAGTTATTATTCTCGAAATTTTCTTTAAGAAAAATATCATTTTTTGTCCTACTAGATGGATTTTCTAAATCCAATTACCTCTCTAGGTAGGAGTATAGATAAGTATATATGTACACACATATAGTTTATAAATGTATTAGAGTGAATCGGTCGAGAAAAAAAGTATACTTAGCATTTTTCTTTTTGATGATCTTTCCCACAGTCGGCGAGTCTGCCAGTGGTAAAGCGCCAAAACTCGTGGCCAGACACATACCCGGTCCATCAGCACAGCTAGACGCGATGGGTAACCGGGCAAGCACGGCGGCCAGTGAAATATCAAGAGCCCATCAACTGGCCGTGGAACGTGGTGAGAAACTCAGCAACTTGGAAGACCGCACCGCCAGGATGATGACTGAAGCCGAACAGTTTTCCAACAATGCCCGAGAGCTACTAATGAAGAACAAGGATAAACGGTGGTATCAGCTGTAAGCTGTCCGATTAGTTGTCTCTTTCTCTATCTCTCTCTCACTCTCTCTCTCTCTCTGAATATTTATAAAATCTCTCTCTCTCTCTCTCTCTTAAACTCGGGCGCGCGCGCGCGCACACACACACCCACACACACACACACACACACACACACACACACACACACACACACACACGAAACATTTATACTTCTTCCAATTAAATGTTTACATTTTTAACAAAGTTTGCTTTTTAATTATTTAATTTTGTTGTATATTCGTAAAACTATTCCCGATTTATTCTACCACGTTGATATAATACGTCAAGATAATATAAAAACATATATTATCTCGTCAACGCATTAATTAATTAATTAATCATACGTAGGTAAACTCATTTTCCTTAAGTGTCATATATTTTATAGTACTTTTTTTTTATTGATAATTTTATAACGATTGCAATGCATTTACATTCAAATGAAACAACAACGACGAATGATACCACATTACATACTTTGATATAATATTATATATTTATACATACATATATATGATGTGTGTGGAGTATGTGTGTGTGTACCTACATATATATATATATATATAGTGTATTAATTATTTTAATGATAATTAACTTATTTGATTGCATATTACTCTTAAAATAAGAAAAAATCAACACAAAAACGGGCTGTGGTTTTAGAAATAAGTAAGGTAGGTAAGCTACATATATAAAATTAATAGATTTTATTTCTTACTACATTTTTTTTTTTATTAGAAAATTCGCGGTTCATACCAAGTGCTTAAATATAAATAATGATTACGTGTAAAGAAAACTCAAATAATTATACACATAAAATTATCAGTATTTAAAAATAACTTTAATTCAAAGCGCGTCAGACGTATTTGAGTACATATAGTATACGCGTAAATCTGCATATACTTTTATGTGTGTTTCGATCCTTACGTGTCCCTTGTGTGTGCAAGCAAATGTTTATGTTTACTTGAAGCGATTTGTGCCTTAAAAGTAAGATATTACGTAGTCTACGGTATAATAAATTGTTTTTGAGGGCTAACTGTATATTGTAGAAGTATAAATTGTTAAAATATTTTCTTTAATATAATCTAATTATACAAATCTATTTATATAACGAGACTTTAGGTATAATTAATCGAGTTATAATAATGGGAATAATCGTGTTGTGATTTTTTTTTTGTTTCTATTTCGGCCTCCGAATGACACAATTTATGTGTGCCCGTAAACTGATAAAAAAAAAAAAATTAAAATCAAATATTTTTCAGCCGAAAACATCAAAATAGAATACTTGTCTAAACATCGTTTTCTCGAGTCTAGTCAAATATTAAATATATTATAACAATTATACAAAGAATGAATATGCATAAACATTACACGACCAAGTTACAGAATTCGTATGGGGATCATTATGTTTTAACTTATATATTTATTATTGAATGTTCTCATAATTATTATTATTATTATTATTTTCATATGATTAATATAATACTCGTAGTTGTTATATTATTTTACAAAAGAAAATGTCTTTTTTTTTATAAATATAATTGTTTTTCTATAGACTATACATAACTTAAGTTAAATCGAAATAATATAATACCTATTATAAATTATTATGAAATATATTAGTGTTAAATTATTTTAAGAATATTAAGTTAAGCTTTGGTGACGATTATAATCTTACGTCATAAATATATATGTTACAGGAAAAGATGATAATTAGTTTATGTCGACAATAGCTAGTCAACAACGACAATGCCTGATTTAGCAAAATATTGTCATAAATGATTAGTAATTGACGTTAGTTCCTAAAAAAAAAAAAAAAAGAAGGGAATGTTGCTAAATATTGCAATTATATTAAAATATTAAATAAATTAATAATTATTTATTATTCACTTAGTATTTATCACAACAGGGTAAGTAAAACATTATTGTTTCCTTTGCAATGTTGGCATATTTTAATTTAAGTTCAACCATCATACGGTCACGGCCTCCTTGATCGATTGCTGTATGTGTAGAATGAAAAGATCTTAATTTTTCATATAAGGTACACTTTCCATAAAATTGGCCATAGTTTTAATAAGATGATCTATTACTAGATACCATTCATAGTAAAACGTCATACTTACGTATGTTCCTTTAATACTTTGTACACTTATTTTTGCCGGTCGTGGATAGCGTTATTTTGGACTGCTTTATTTCTTCAATTCGATCGTCATATTCACTGTGGACAAAAAAAAGTTATTGTTATTATGTTTTTTTTTCAATTTATAATGAAGTTGTGTTGTCAAATTTTAATCGTATTTCATTTAAATCGATTTTTAAAAATATTTATTTAACACTACTTAAACACCGCAAAAACACCAGTCTTTATTACAGACTCTTGTAATCGTACTCTGTACGATACACAGAGTTTGATACACAATAATTAGGCATTTGTAGTATGTTCGATTAGTCGTGTCAATTTACAACATTGCCTAAAATAATACGGAAATATAGTAAATACAACTACGAAATATTCAACAATGCTTAACATCATCAGGAATTGTTGACAATGACTAGGTTATGACAATTCCAAAATGATCATCTTTTCCGGTAACACGTATACACTTAAATGACGTTTGTATATAGTGTAAGGTATGCGTAAGAAAATTGCTCTCGCCGTCTTGTCTTGGGTCACTCGCGCATTCGTTATTTCCATATCTTCGTTTTCAGCATCTCTACGATAAATTATAATTACACCGTATAGGTGAATATTTATGTAATTTATAGTTATTGAAATCATACGAACTGTTTAAAATAATGAATAGAATGATATCCGCGTTGTTCTCGATTTTCATAACAAAAAAATAACTCGTCTACTTTATGTTTTCCCCTACTATATTTTTTCACATGATATGTGTTTTCTCTCTTTCTTCTTCTACGTATTTTTTATAATTTTTTTTCTCGCCAAATAAATATGTTCGCCCTCGTACACAATCAGCGTACATTATCCGAATAATTTTCCATTATAATAAAACTGCCTGTCAGTGTTTTAATTTCTCTTATGCATAAGTAATTTTTTACATTATTCACTTGCCAACCGCTCACCACCCAACAATGGTGAACCCCCAATCTTTAAACTATTACTTCTACCACTAATACTACCTTCATAACTACCACCACCAATATACAACTGCTGAGATCGAAAAATCATTATCTAAGTGGACATGAGCACAGCAGGACCCGGACGAAACGCGACCGACAAGCTATAAATTACCTGCCGAAAAAAAAAATAATAATTAAAATGTGATATGAAAAAAAAATTAAATAATAATAATAATTTGCATAATAGTGCGAAACCCACTGGTTAAAAATTGTTTTATTGACACTGTTATTTTTTATTTAAAATTGATTATTAGACGTATATTTATGTATATACAAATGTATTTATTTATTTAATTATATTTATATATAATGTATATGTATGTATAAATTACATTTAAGGTATTAACCGGACATTTTTCTTCTCGATTTACATAGATTTCAAAATTCTACGTTGAGAATTGCTGTTGCGTACATTTTATCAAATTGCACGCCTAAAAATAAAATACTTTCATCTTATTTACATGACTCATCGAAAACTGAAATAATAATATTATATTAGAAGTCCGTGAATTTTTTTTTTTAAAGTAAGAATTCCATGCGTTGAATTGAATGATGTTTCCGTTTAAACTATATTATTTTATTGTTTAACAAAAAAGACAATAAAAATAATTTTAAAAACAAAAAATTATAAAAACGAGAGGGGAAAGGCATATGGAACATAGGTTTTAGATTTTTTAAAAAATAAGAAAACAATGTTTTTACTATATTATTCTCTATATAATCCAGTCTTCCTAAAACTAGATGTATAGGCTACCAACTTGGCAATATTTCTATCCCCTCCATCCTTCCTTCTACTCTATTTTCATCGCTAACACCATCATCACTCAAAACAATCTATTATATTATACGAAAATGTATATGTTTGTTTTGTATTATAAAATTATATTCAATATTATTATTATTATTATCGTATTAATTATTATTATGTATATCTGTGAAACAATATTAAACGTTTAGGCATAATAATATGTTATCGATCTTCAAGTATTCGTGTCATAAAATTATATAAATGTTTCAAAAAAAAAAAAAAAAAACTTATTCTCCTTATTCTCAAGACACCTAACTATATTCTGTAAATTATTGATTCCTTTAAATATATATGCATGTGTATATGTATGAGATATATTTATTATTATTATTATTATTATTAATAAAATTGTAGTCTATTGCGCGAACATAAAATTATGATTATAGGCTACGCGTTATTTTATTTTTAACACAAGATTTAATATAACAAGAAATAATATAATATTATAATACCATGAATATTACAGTGATATATATAAATATATGTTATACATTAAGGTTAATCTTGTCAGACGGCCCATAATAGACGTAGTGGCGCGTCTGTGTAGAATTTAATTTGAAATAAATGTAAAAAAAAAAATATATATATATATTTCAATAATACTTTATATACATCGGACTATATATATACGATACGATATATAGATACGATTGGAAATCAAAGAAAAGGCATTTATATTATATATAAAAACAAGCATTAGGTACCCGTCATAATATAAATTAATAAATACTTGTATTTGATTAGTATGAATGTATGATAATAATTATAATAATTATTAAAATGTTATAGCTTCTAAATGTTTATGTTATTATTATTTATTATTTTTTTTTAAAAGATGTTAATTACATTTTTTTAAGTATAAATATCAATTTCATTTGCTAAAAATATTATATTAATGTAATTTTAGTATATTTGGTATAAACCTAATATAACATTATCGACTACCGTTAAAACATTCTATTTGTATAATAAAAACGCAAAACTATTATTTTAAACCTTGTTTTTCTTTTTTTCACTCTGTTCAGTGATACTGTATATTGTTAATTCCTTTCGTCTTATATATATATATGGCAACTAAATGATCATGTTTACACATACAAGGCTAACCTTTTGAATACCAGTATAATCCTTTTTTTT